GCCTGGGATGGATGCTGACATTGAAGAGTGGGTACGGGGGTGTACGCCATGCCAGCAGGCGAGACCCGAACCGCCAACCGCCTTCCCACAGAAATGGGAATCGGCGGGAAAGCCTTGGTCGAGGCTGCACATAGATTTGGCGGGCCCAGTACAGGGTCAAATGTTTTTGATTGTGGTGGACTCTTTTTCGAAATGGTTGGAAGTGGCGCCAATGTCTACCACCACTTCCACTGCTGTTATAAATGTGTTGCGCCGCTTAATTGCCACGCATGGGTTGCCTGATGTCCTGGTAAGCGATAACGGCGCTCAGTTCGTGTCGCAAGAGTTTGCTCAATTCCTGGCTAACAATGGCATCAGGCAAATTACGTCTGCCCCGTTCCACCCAGCATCGAACGGGCAGGCAGAGCGAATGGTCCGCACGACCAAGGATGCGCTTGCCAAGCTAACATCCGGGGATTGGGGAGTGAAACTAGCGTCATTCCTTCTACGGCAACACGTAACGCCGTGCTCTGCCACAGGCCGCAGCCCGGCCGAACTATTGATGGGGCGACGCCTAGCGTCTTTGCTGGATAGGCTGCATCCAGACCTCAACGACTTGAGGCCCCAGCAGCAGAGTGTTCCCAATAAGGTCCGCACATACGAGTGCGGAGATACTGTGTTCGCCAAGAACTATGCTGGGGGACATTCGTGGCTTCCAGCCACTGTAACTGAGGTAGTGGGTTCCCGCATGTATGTAGTCCAGCTTGCGGACGGGCGCAAATGGAGGCGACATGTGGACCAGTTGAGGCAGCGGTGGGCGACTGGCCGCCCCACCTCGCAGCCAACTGAGCTACCTGACCCCGATGACCATCCCATACCTCTGCCGGAGGTGAGTACTGCCGAGCCTGCCGGGCCCAGTACTGTCCCTGAGGGAGGGCAGACCCCTACTCTTGGACCCGCTGCAAGGGATGGTAACGTACCTGACCCACTCGAGAATGAGTCAAGCCGAGTGCCCCCAATTCAAAGGTGCCCTGAACCTCCTACGCCACGGAGGTCTCAGCGAATTCGCAGAGTGCCCACCTATCTAAGCGAATATGACTGTACATAATGTTTTTGCTTAGGGGGGAGGGATTTGTTATGTATTGCATTGTATATAACTGCTATGTGAATGTAAATACTGATATGTGAATCGCCTGATTGAGATGCCATGTTGAGCTTCATCCTGGGCTAGGATCCTAATGTAACCAATTGGAGCCCTAGCCCAGAGAGTGTCTACCAATCACGCTGTAAAGCGGGACCGCTTGTGATTGGACTTTATATCTTCAACCTCATAGGTTGTTATTTGTACAGGGGGTGTGGCTACACTAGCCGGGAATGTTTAAATACAGAGCAGCCAGTATATGGCTGGTTGGAATGATGGGTTCTGGCTGGCGATCGTTGTACCGTGTTCGGAGAAGTAACAGAGCTGAAGAATAAACCGCATTCTTGCTGAATCACTCTCCGACTTCTTTGTTAAGCGCACGACTTAACAAAAACTCTGCCAGAAAGCTAGCGAGGTTTATTTCCCACAGCTATTCTTGAAAAACTGTTTGAGAGTTTGAAACCTTCAGATTTCTTACCTCATATTATCACAATAAGATCCAAGTACAAGGGAAAGAACGTAAATGGGAAAATGGAATAAGCAGGAAGGCAAACAAACATTCCATTCTGGCAAACAAACATTTTTGCAGAACAGCCAAATGCTTTTGTCCCCAGCATGTTGCTTTCTGATACAGGAGGGAGCTCAGAGTATTTTTGCTTCAGGTGTTTTAAATCTAAAACTAGATCTTCCTTATGGTGATAATCCATATAGCTGCTGTAACCTTTAAGAGAGTATATGAATGCAATGCCTGGAGACCAGCTTCATACAATCTAGGAAAGGTGCCTTGGTGCTGCGTAGGTGCCATGAACATATGGGCTGGGCTGCTCTACAGGGTAAGAACTTTTTAAATATTATGGAAGGCACATGCAGCACAAGCACAGGCAACCATTTTTGGGGTTCTCTGTGTAGGAAGCACCACATTTCATTTGGCCCTAAGGGGCCACATTCATATACCAGTGTTGTCTAAACAGTACTTTAAATGTCATAATAGGAAGTCTTCCTATCCAACCTGTACATGTACAAAATGAATAAAAGAGACAGGGAGTTATAACAAGCTTCACAAATGCCACATCCACAATGTGTTATCCTTTGCAATTATGCCACAAGTGTTCTCTCCTGCCCGCCTTAGCAGGCTAGTAGCAGGTTCCCAAGTTGCAGAGCTCAGATTACTGTATTTTTGGATGGTTTCACAAAACACCAAAGCATATTGTTTCCCTGGGGTTTCCAAATGAAACCTGGTCCTGTTATAAGAATCTGGCGTCTCCCAGCTCAGGAGTTCCTGTCAGGTTAAACCACAGGGCGCTCTCTTGTCTCTTATGGTCAACCTCTGACAAAAATGATCTTTTACTGCTGCCATCCAAAGCTGTCCAATAATTTGTCTCAAGTGGTTTCCGCTAAGAGACAGGCATCTGAAAGGAAGCTGGGATTCCCCTTCCGTAACTCACAGTTCTGTCGCAGAGACACAAACGTGCACTGTTTCTGCTATCCATGTCTAATACTGATGCAAAGAATAACAGGCATATGGGAAACATAACAGCTTACATTCCAGACTAGGAACCAAGCCCAGAAGGATTTAGCAGAGTTATTAAAGGAAAGGCAGACTCAGAAGAAACAGTGAAATCAAACAATATGCATAATGATAATATATATGTAAATAGCTGCTTCTTACAAAGGAGGATGATATGTTGGGGAGTTGTTTTTCCCACTACTATATCCTGATTTGGCTCCTAAGGATGAGCACATGAGAACTGGGAACAGAGGAATAAGACAGAGTTAGGAACTGAAAGACAGCTTTTTGTTGCAAACACCACTTTTATCCTAGCGTGGGAGCCATCATTTCAAACCAGTAGTCAGTAGGGACACACTGCTACAAGTAATATATCCTTCTAATTCTAGACTTTAGTCTGGCTGGGCAGGGATCCACGGAGAGAAAACAAGAAAAGCAAAGAGTGGCAGCAAAAGGAAAGAGAGGGAAATACAGGCAGCAGGGGAAGGGTAGTCAATAGGTCAACCTCACATTTCATTTAACATGCCATGCCTGGAAATCAGCCCAAGACTGTACAAGACAATCTTGTAAGCTTTAAAGTAAACCTGGCTATGCCCCCACTTTCTCTCTTATTTAGTAGGCATCTCAAAGGCATACTCTTAAAATCATACTCTGCAGTGGGGGATCATGGAAGATATTGACAAAGGGCCTACAAGAGTGGTGATGTGTCTATATGCACAGGGAGTCAAGAAAAGATGAGAAATTTCTGCTGAGTTCTGATGCAGCAGTAGGTTCCATTGATCTGTTTCTATAAGAATGTGGCAAGAGATGAATGGAAATTCAAAAGGTGGTTTGTACAATATGGTGGTTGCTATCCAGAAGGGGCATGGAATTTGCCCCCCTGAGAATTTCCAGTTCAAAAACTGGTCCCAGAGGCCCCATGAGCTGTTTTTGAACTATAACAACAACAACAATAATAGCAGCTTGAGGACTGGGGCAGGAGGGGCAATCTACCTAACTTGTGCATGGTGCTTACCCCAAATAAAGTTTCCTAATTTAAAAAGAAAGAAAGACAAACTTTTGTATCATATATCCTACTGCTTTTTGAACTGTGAAAATGAAATGCGGGGGGGGGATGCGTTGTTTGCATGCATGGAATATGGTCCCCTCTAGATGGTGGACACCAGCTTTACAGCTTCACCTTGCAAAATATGTATATGGCAAAATGTACTTTAGTTATTATATCATCAGTGAAATCTTAAGCACAATTACACTCTTCTAGGTCCATTGAAGAAAGATATAACTCTGCTTAGGATGGCACTGTCTATTTCTTTCTCCTGTGAAATGAAAGTTTTGGAGATTTGAAAAAAGAAGCTTAAAATTAGACCAGACAATTTTATCATCACTTATAACTTTGAAATACCAATACAGTGTTTATAACTGAATAGTTTTAAATTGTCTACTTAGTTTCATGAATATCAAAGCTACAGGACAGGGACACTGATTCTGTCCACCGTCTTTTCCAGAGGCGAAGGAGAGCAGCCACAGCAGCTTTATTTGCTGATGGCAAACCTCTAACCCGCGGCTCACCAACCATGGTGCCCACCATCACCTTTCCTGGCACCTGCCAAGTGCTTTTGGAAGGTGGGCAGGACCAGGTGGGGCTTTTGCCCAGCAGGGTTTCTGATAGACCACTGGAGATCTGAGTAGCTGTACAGCTTTTTTTTTATTGCTTTGGCAGCAGCTGCCACCATAGCGTTATGACCTTCACTGCATGACTGAAAGTAAGTTTTGTATAAGCAAGAAAATATTTTTAAACAATATGTTCATTTGAAAAGGTATCATGTTTAGTAGAGCTTCCGCATGACATCTTTAAGAGTTACTACCGTGTTTCCCCGAAAATAAGACACTGTCTTATATTTACCCGTAGTTTTTCTCAAGACTTATACCTTGCAAGGGCTTATACCACAAATGCATAGAAATCTTGCTAGGGTTTATTTTTCGGGTAGGTCTTATTTTCGGGGAAACAGGGTATTAGACTTACGCATAACCTCCTTCCCTGCCGTTTGTGGTTGGCTCTGCCTTCAGTGGCAGCCATTTTCTGGATGCACCCACCATTCTGTGTCAAAATTCCAAAGCTGCCTGAAGGCTCTAATCCCCTCTGGGGGCCCACCCCCATTTTCTCCATCTCAGCCAACTCTCTAAACTTATTTCCCTCTTAGGAAAATCCAAACTTGTACTCAAAGCCCACTGGAGATGCATCAGCCATTGAAGAGAGAGAGAGAAGGTGAAAATTAATCCCATGTTTTCTTAGCCAGAGACATATGAAATTGACAGAACGGCAGGTCTTTCAATGGAAACCATTCTAGGCAAAAAGGGGGTAAAATGGACTACCTGGTGTTGCTCCAGGATACAAGCTGGAATCGTTGAGGTCTCCACCCTCTTCCCAAAAGTACTGTGACTGAAGAATCTTGGAATCTTCATTTTCCTCACTGGCAAAGCCAGATCCAGGTGCAGCTTGGAGGGCACTGGGGACAAGGTCAGACTCAGGCGCCTTCAAGTTTGTCTGTTCACTGGATTCCAGAGACTCCATGTGGGACATTGACGTGAAGTCTACCAACGACGTGGAGCTCAGTCCCTCAGTGCCAAGATCTTCGGATAAAGCAAGGCAGATGCACAAAGAAGCTATAAACAACAAAGAAAGCCATATCAGTATTGTGGAACATTGATGCATAAAAGACTCATAAAGAAAGTAGTTGAAACAGCATTCAATAATGGCTGCAGGCTCCTTTGCCCTTAGGAGGCAATTATACTGGTTTAGGAATGACTATATTATCCACAGTGATCACAGTAGTGATGGATGTACTTATCTGGAGGAAGCATGTATTCACAGGTACAAAATGTAGTTTGTCCACTGCTGGAAAATGAGATATCGCTGCAACAGAACCACAGCCTGGAAGGAAGCCTTCTGAACTCTGCATAACACGTAGGTGACAGCATGCTTACTGCATTAAAATCAATTGTCTTAGTAAGGTCCTAAGCAGTCTTTAGAGAGCAGTTTTAAGTGCTGCGTTTGCATACATGAACAAACATTAATATGTCTCAATAACAAAACTTAGATCTTCCTAATTCCCAATTGGGCTTGAAAAATGAATAGCCCATTATTTATATTGATTTCATAGTGATATTGACAGAAAAAAATAGCTGCCTTGAATGTACAGAGGTCAAAGGTAGAGACCTGCCGGCCGTATAACAATCCTATAACTTATTTTCCCCTTTGGACACTAAACTGTGCTTTCTTGTCAGATGCTCCTGGGTTGTTAGACTGGACCAAAATACAGAGCTTTGCTATTGCCTGAAGTGCACGACTCTTCTTTAAAATACAGAGTGTGTGTTATGCGTCATCAAGTCACTTCTGACTTATGGAGACCCTATGAATTCATGACCTCACAAACCTCCTACTATTAACAGCCTTGTTCAGGTCTTGCAAACTGAAGGCCATGGTTTCCCTTATTGAGCCACTCCATCTGATGTTGGGCTTTCCTCTTTTCCTGCTACCTGTAACTTTCCCTAGCATCATTGTCTTTTCCAGTGAGTCCTGCCTTCTCAAAATGTGACCAAAGTACAATAGCCTCAGTTTAGTCATTTTAGCTTCTAGGGAGAGTTTGGGCTTGATTTGATCTACAACCCACTTATTTGTCTTTTTGATGGTCCATGGTATCCATAAAATACTCCTCCAACACCACATTTCAAATGAATAAAATTTCTTTCTGTCAGTTTTCTTCACTGCCCAATTTTCATGCCCACACAAGGTAGTAGGGAATAAAATTTAGAGAAGTGGTAAAATAGTAACTTGGAAAACTACAATCACATCAGGAACCCACACGTACATAGATGTAAAGATGGGTGAGCGGGAGCAACTCAGGTCAGAGTACCGTATATGCCCGTTGGCAATATTACAAGCGACATGGAAAGCGTTCTGAAAGTGGTCACTGCCATCCACACTGATCTTTAAATTGCAACATAACTCCATGCATAGGAAACTCAACAAAGAATTTACCCAATATTAAAACATTTCTGGAAAAGCATTACAGCGTCAATATTTTTGGAAACAAACAACAAAGGGGGTGCCTAATGCCTGGTCTGCAAGACTCTACCTCTGATTCACTTTATTTTTGGAAACTTTATTGCTCGGTGTTCTTCTGCACTCCTCCTTGCAGTTTCTTATCTGAGATCAATAAAACAAAATTAGCCACTCGGAGATCAGCTTGAGACAAAAGGCGAAGAGAGCAGAGACAGTAGAAACACGACAGAAGCTGGCAGCACTGAAGGGGGAAGCACTGCAGCATTAAGCAGCCAACCAAGACCTCTCTGGCCATCCCAAGGGATGGACAAAGTCACCAAGTGTTATTTGCACATGGCTGAGTCAGTCAGCCACTGAGGCCAAAACATCCCAAAATATGCCCCAGTATTAAGGATGCAGAATGCCTTTGCAGGTCAGATTATCTCCTGCTTGAGCACTCTCCTAGTTCAGTCTGCAAGGAAGCTGGGGGGAAAAACAGAACAGAACTTTGTCTAGGATTTTTCTGTTCTCACACCACAGCTGCCACCATGTTATTATTAGCATTACAACAGCAACAAGAGACACCCCCCCCCCAAAAAAACCTAGAGCTATAAAAACCATTGTGCTATAAACACATTTATACACATGCTCACATAGAAGCTACACCCAAACAAACAGCTTGGTCCTATTCATCCCCTTTAATCTAATGTACAGATTGCTACGAGCGATGGGATCTACTGTTTGTCTAGTAGAGCAAGGTTATCAGCCACCTACACAACTCACTTACGGTCTTTATGAAAGAACTGACCCCAATGGGCCTGAAATGCCATAGGGCAGGGTTTCCCAATGTGGTGCCCATGGGCACTGTGGCACCCAACTGCACTCCTCTTGGCACTAGGGATGACTGCCTCCGGGTGGGACCTCCCTGCAGCAGAAATCCTCTGTGAGATCCAGCACAGTACTTGTAATGCCTCAAGGAGGAAAGGAATGGGATGGATCTCACAGAAGATTTCTGAAGGGAGTGATTTCCCTCCATGGATTTCCCTTTATCACCTTTTCCTCATGCTGAAGCCCAAAATGTGCACACACACACACACACACACCCGCAGTGCTGCTGCTGGAGGACAGGGAACAGTTAGAACAGGGAAGAGCTGGAGGTAGAGGGAAGGAGTAACTGGCAAAAATTGCCTCTCCCCATAGATATCCTTCATGGGATCAGTATAAATCATGATGGTAACTGCAAACCGCTAGGAAAACGGCAGCAAGGTTTATTTCATACCTGTTTGTTAGGGAAGTCGTGTTCTATTTTCTACCAAGCTGAACCAGAGGAGCACTGATTGGACATTTCCTAGCCAACATCTATTTTTTATTTAAACCAGAGGTCCTCCGCTTTTATTGCAACCGGATTCCATTTTCATCCAAATTATGTACAGCTACATTTAGTCAAGTAAGAAAGAAGAGTGTTTGCAAACCTCCTGGCTGAAATCCTAGAAGCAGGGAGCCAGTTTGATGTAGTGGTTAAGTGCGCGGCCTCTAATCTGGGAGAACCAGGTTTGATTCCCCACTCCTCCACTTGCACCTGGCTGGATGACCTTGGGCAAGCCGTAGCTCTGATAAGAGCTGTTCTTGAAAAAGAGCAGTTTCTGTCAGAGCTCTCTCAGCCCCACCTACCTCACAGGGTGTCTGTTGTGGGGAGGGGAAGGGAAAGGAGTTTGTAAGCCGCTCTGAGACACCTTTGGGTAGTGAAGGGCGGGATATAAATCCAATCTCTTCTCTTCTTCTTCAATGGACAAACCTAATATGGTTTCACATTCCATTAATCAATATACTGGAGACAATGGTAAGCATCTCCCTCCAAAGACATACCTTTAAAGGTAAGATTAAAACAGTTATGGACTAGAACTTTTGAATTTCTCTTCCACTGAACCAGATATGTTGGCTCCAATTCAGACTTCCAGCTTTCCTTATTTCTCCTCTCTTCCTGGTGACTGATGTATAAACGCCTAAAATAGGGTTGCCAATTCCAGACTCGGAAATTTCTGGAGATTTAGGCTGCGATCTTACGTACAACTAGACCCGACATAGGCGCAAATGCCAGGCAGATATAAAAGGGAGTGATCAGACAACAACATAGTCGGCAACCCATTCTGCTCCACCGCAGAAGTGGAGTTAGAAGACACCGGGGAAACTTCAGTAGTAAACAGGTTGCAACGGGCCACGGATGGACTTTCCCCTGTCTGATCGCTCCAGCGTGCTCTCATGGCGTCGGGATGGTCTGATCAGGCCATCCCGACACTGTGCTGTTGTCCCCCCCCCTTCGCAGTATGCGCATCATTGCAAACGCCATGGCCCAAAGGGGGCCCTCAATGCAGAGGTGCAGTTCATTGATTCCTCGTTTAAGCGCATCGGAAACAAATGGCCCCAAAAAAAAAAACCCGACTCACCCGCAGTTGCATCTGATCACACACTGACGGACTGCGCCCGCAGCTTCAAAGGGAGGTGTGATCTCGCAACTGCGGGTCAAATTCCTCCAGAGGAAATAGTCTTGCTTCCCCCCCTCCCCCGTTTTATTTGGTGCGTGTGACCGCACCCTTAGGCATGGATCCTGGGGAGGCCAGAATTTGGGGAGGAAAGGGACCTCAGTGGGGGAGAATGCCATAGTCCACCCTCCAGAGCAGGCATTTTCTCCAGGGGAACTGAGCTCTGTGATCTGGGGATGAGCTGTAATTCTGGGAGATCTCAAAGGCCCCACATAGAGGTTGGCAACCCTAGCCTAAAACTTAACATACCTCAGTCACTGTTATTGAACACGGCCTTCAGGAGGGCTAATCCTATTAGTTGGGGGAGCTTCAGTTCCCAGCAGTTTGTTGACCATTACTTAACACTGAACTCTTAGTCTAAACCCATTAAAATGCATGATCCTTACTCGAAAATAAAAGCACACTATCTGAAATGCAAGAGTGAGTCATTGCAACAGCACTCTATAGAATCAGCATCTGTTCAGTTTGATATTCTCTTCCCTGTCTGAGTGTGAATTGACCTCTGGGTATGTCAAGAGCTCGTGGAAGACGAAGTGCAACTAAAAGTGAAATACTGTTTCAGAAAACCTGATTCTGCAAAATTGCTTAGATGGATGGATCAGGGGAGCCAATATCCCTGGATTCCAGATTCATTACTGATCCGTACAGCAAATTTCCTTTAGTGCAGATCAACTCAGTATTCAGTTGTCTCATTTTCAATTTGTCCTTACAAGAAATATAATGTTCTGTTACTAATAATTTATATAGCACTACTTCATATGCAAAAGATTAATTTGTAAAAATTGTGCATTACCATCTTCATTCTTCTTTCATTATTCCTGTATAACAAGTGAAGAACTGAGGCCAGGAGAGAGTGAAGTTGTTGACTGAACAGGAATGTGAACCAAGTTACCATGTCTGTGAATGTACAGTGCATATGAATAGATCTAGATGTGCATAGCTCATAGACAGTGTGATGCAGTGGTCAGAATGTCAGACTAAGATCAGGGAGAGGCAAGATCGGGGAGAGGCAACTCCAGGCCGGCGAACGGGGCCTTTATGCCCCGTCCGCCGGCTCCCCCCCCCGCGCCCACTCCAGGACGGTGAACGGGGCCTTCATGCCCCGTCCGCCGGCTCCCCCCCCTGCGCCCACTCCAGGACGGCGAACGGGGCCTTCATGCCCCATCTGCCGGCTTCCCCCCCTGCCCACTCCAGGCCGGCGAACGGGGCCTTCATGCCCCATCCGCCGGTCCCCC